TCCATTAGTTCCACTAAAACTATCATTATTTATAAATAAAACAAAATTTATTTGAACAAAATATCTCAACTCTAAGTATTTTTAAAAAATTAATTAAAACTCTAGCTACTTATGGACAACTCTGTATGTACGGACATTATAGTCACATTTTATTTCCGCAATAATTATTGAATACATGTATTATAGTATATATTGAATGAAATCAAAGTAATTATTGAATGAATTTCATGTTCTGATAACTTTATAAGACTTTTATTGTGCACCTGTTTATTGACTTTGGTTTTGAAGATTGTAATAAACATGTAATCATTTATTTTACTGGTATTCATTTTATTATCATGTTTAACAATCAATATTATAATAATTTCAAGTATTTTTAATTTAAATTTACATGTAAATACTGTACTGTATATTAATTCAAGTATTTTCATTGTGTTTTAACTTATATTCAATTAAAAATGTTAATAATATCTCAAAAAGTTGTTTTCAATTTTGTGGAAGTTATAGACTAAATATTTGAAAATATTGACATTTATCACATAATGTTGTAAATACAACAAAATTGTATAGTTTTAATTATTTTATAATGTATCAACAATTGATTCAAAGTCCTCACAAAATTTTGACCTAAAATTATTATCACATATTAAAAACCCTTACAATTAAGGCATTGAAGCAATTATTATGCAATTATAAACTTAAATATACAATGTATTAAATGAAGCAGTAATCGCATGCATTTTTGTTAATATTTTTGAGTCAATGAATTAAAATATAAGTTATATCACTTGGAAGGCAATAATTCATTCATCTTTTTGTAATGTACTAAAAATGATGGCAAATAAGTCATTCATTTAACAGATGAGATAATAACCGGATTAATCTGAAATATATCGCATACAATATAAAGTAAATACAATTAATACTAAACAGTCATTAACTCTATTTTGAGCGCAAAACGTGGCCAAAGAGTATATTCAACACGTATTAAGTGTCGAAAAAAGTTTGGAAATAAATTCACATCTTTTTGTCGAAATAAAATGAAGTTTAAATGTTTGATAATGTAATCTAAATCGGAGTCACAAGCTATTGATTAATGTAGAAATTAACAAAAAATTGACGGCATTTGAAAAGTTGTTAAATATTAGTGACTAATAGACGGCTTGACAACAAGTTGGGAATATACAGAATATACTGTATATATGGTTAACAAACATAAACACACTTCACATGAAATGTTATAGCATTTACTAATTTAAGAGTTACAATGAATCTCATTATACACTGCATTTTCACTGTATTTAAGATGTCTTTCAAAATTATAATCTAATCAAACATTTATATTAATTGCTTTTTTCAGTGTTTCTAAAGTCCATGAAAAAACATGGAATTTTTGGTTATATTCTTGTATTGAATATTATGGCAAATATTTCCATAATAAATATAATAATTGCATATTTTGGCAAATTTTTTGAAAATAAGCCCATTTTTCTATCATTTTATAAACAAAAACATCAATTTGGCCAAAATATTTGTAGATATTAATAGAAATTATTAAGTAAATGATGCATTAAATATCAAACATTATTGTTAACAAAATAAAAGTTTATTCAAATGTATGTCAGAATTAACCAAAGCATTACATGATATGCTTTAATCAAAAGCATAAACTCAAATAAATTACCAAAAATATAAATATAAATGGTTAACTTTTTACAACTTTAAAATAAATGTGGCATTAAATTAGATAATCATTAAATCAATCATTAAAAGCATACATAAGTTGTACACAATATCTATAACACAGGTATATTCTGTGTGAAAAGTGATAGCATTTGTGAACAGAAAACACAACAAAAACACATGAAATGTAAACATTAAATAACATTCAAAAAAGTGTTGAGTTTTCCAAAAATATAACTGATTTTAAATAATGATTAAATAGTAGTTATGTTTGCATTTTATATGTGATTCACACTTACGTTAAGACATCAATACATCTCATCTTCGCGTATATATGGCATCAAAAGGAGCGCAAAATGTTTAAACAATGGATCAATTGTTGTCAAAACTCTTCGCCCTTCCGGTGGTTACTGAAGAGACGAAGACTTATAGCACTTGTGGCCATCATTTGTGTCTGTTTTCTCATCTATCAGTTACTGTCACTCAAAGCGCTCAACGGCCAGATGTCCGACAGTATCGCACGGGTGGCCAAACACATGGTCCACAAGTACTCCAACCAACACCCGGTGACCACCTCTGCTCCCGAGGCAGTGGTTGATCGCAATCTCGTCGATCAGATGAAGCAATCGATGGACACGAATGCAAAGGAAGTGTTAAATCAAATTGAGACCAATTATGATATAAATAAGTCAATTGATGGACACATTGGACAGCAATTGGTGTCAATAATTGGTGTTTTGCCTAAATTTGCGACACTTTATGCGAAGACTAGTGACTCGTTTCGGTGTGTTTTGTCTGGAGAACAGATTCCATACCATTATCTTAACGATGATTACTGTGATTGTGTGGACGGAAGTGATGAGCCCTCCACTAACGCCTGTCCGCACAATAAGTTTGTTATTTCCTATATTTTCGCATATTTTTTATATCAAACTATTTGTTAATGTTTTTTGTGTTGAAAATTGTGTTCAATTTATACCAAAATATGATTAGATATTTGTTTGTTTTGAATATGATTTACAATTCAATTAGTTTTGAATAACCTTAAAGTCGTGTTTAAATTTTAAACTTTAAAAACAATTACAAAAACAAAAACAATTATGGTATAATTGCAAATTAATTTACATATAATATATGACAATTCATTTATGCATAACATCTCATTTTGAGTGGACTTTTAGTGAAATTAGTTTTTAGGATTTTAAAAGAGCATCAAATTCATAGCAAATATATATTTAATTCATTCAAGTGTTACAACAAAATATATGAAACTATCACTAAATCTCTCTCTTATCGATCACTTTCTCTCTAAATAAATGCAACCAATAATTGATAAAATTCTTTCAATAAGTTTAAGTTCATTACCAGAAAAATGAAGTTTTCTTTCATTTCATTTTTATTTATATTAACACAAAAACAACTCAATTCAGAAGTCACTGACTCTCTGATGATTACCGTATTATTTGTAATTAAATAGTCATTGAATTTAATTTATATCCACTTTATATCAATAATAATCATCAAAACTTTCAGTTTTTGATTACACACATGATATTCTTGGATAGCTTTCATAGTTTTCATGTTTATATAACGTGAAAAACTGAGTGTTTTGTTTATAAAAAGCCTATCGTTTGTATGCATTAATGAATTGTTTAAAAAGCTGTGCAGATTTTGCCGGTCAGTGATATTGAATACATTATCCAAAATACCATAAATTGTGTTTTAGATAATAACTCTGTATATCAACTGATATACAGTATACTATGCACTCAATACTTGTATTCAAATGTTTACACCATTAAACCCATTGTCTAAATATTTGCTTATTTATTGCACAATAGATTTTATTGCACCGCAAACTCAGCCAATAGTGAACAACACTTTATATCATCGGCTAAAGTGAACGACGGGTTTGTTTATTATAATGCAATAAATTATTGATACAATTATTGTTTGCAAACCATTGAATTAATGAGAAAATGTATTTCACTGCTAACCAAACCATCAGAATATGCGACTGTTGTGACGGTTCCGATGAATACAAAGGCCTTTCCGCGCCATTAAAGCTAACCGACAGTCAAAAGGAGACAATTAAGTCGAGCAAAGGAATTGTGGCGACGCCTCCCTGTCCTAACCGGTGTCCGAACCGTTGATTGTTTTTATAATTTGTATAAAATTTATATTTATATTAAATTATTTGAAATAAATGAAAACATTTAACAATTTTAGCTCAAATCCCTATTTTTCAAACATTTATTAAAATTAAAATATATATAAAATTTAAAATTCAAAAAATCCATTTCAAGAATAAATATTTATATGTGTTTCGGTTTATTCGGGGAAATAATAATTATGAACACAACCGACCGGTCAGTCAAATGATGGAAATTATTATAAAATGATCACAAAATAATATATGATTAGAAAATACGCTAACTATACAACCAGTAGGAGGTGTGGGGCCCGAGAGTGGCCCCAGAATTAGCTGATCTTCGTGGCCAACAGATTGCCTTTGGGTTGTTTGGCCCGTTTAGCCTCCCGTTCCTGTTTAATGCGCTGGTGTTCAGCGATCCGGCGCTCCCTTTCCTGTTGCCGCAAATCCCTGAAACTCTGGTCTGTGTCCCACATCTCGTCGGCCGCGCTGTCCTCCCAACTGCCCGCTCCCTCCGGATCCTCGAAGTGATCCATTGCTCCCAACTCTTTGCTCTGATTGGGTAATAATGGTTTTGTTAACTATATTATGATCAGTGATCACAACACTCTTGAGATAAAGACCTGGAATATAGTGGCCTTCGCGTCGACACCGAATCGATTGGACTTTTGATTATCAGTGCTTTCATTGGAAGTCAACACAATCTGAATGACAATTATGTTATTCATTAGAAAACAACAAATCATTATCTATTAAAAGCACAAACTTTTTTGGTTCTCCTGAATTGTGGAACCATATCCCTGAAGAAGTCTTCCTCCACTTCTGGCGGCGGCTCTTCGGCGACGGAAACCGTGTTTTGCTGTGTATTTGAATTAAAGTACAAATTTTGCGATCCATTAGAGCTAAACGTGTGTTGATTTGAGTGACTATTTGTGGCAAAATTGGCCGAATTGTTGGTCATATGTTGAGCGCCGGCATGTGTTGGCCAGTGATGGCCGGCCGACACGTTGTGTTGATTGTGGCCATCAGTGGTGGTGACAGTCATCGGCAAAATCATGCCTGAGTTGCGTCGAGTCCTCCGTCGGCAACAAAACGGCTTCTTTAAGACCGCAAACAAAACCACAAATAATTTCTTGAGTCGACTCAAGACAGCGGCCAATATTGCCATCGCTTCGCAACTCCTCAGATGATTATCCCTGATATGAATGGATCCAAAGTTTTGTGTTGTAATTGTTTGCAGTAATTATAGTCTAATAATTAGCACTCAATTAAAAATATTAATTTAAATCAATGTTTGATTCAAGAGTTTGTTTTCAAAACAATTATGAAATATAGGGTTCACTCATATATAACGTTACGCATAGAGTGAGAGAACCACTTGACATGATTGACCGAATTAGGCCGCATAGAGTTGCCGTTCGCTAAAATTATACATGAATTTTACACATGAATGGAGGTGTAGTTGAATGCCACTACATGTGGAGCATTACGGTATTATTGCCCGGATATAATAATAATTTATTAATAAATGTGGTATCACTTAAAGCTGGGATACATTGTAAGTGTATTTAAATGCAACTTAAATGACACGTCAAATAAATTTATATTTTATTTTGTATAAACAATTAACACCCAAAGCGATCGCATGATTATTGGTATTATTGTGCTTTCTTGAGCGCATTCTTCTTCTTCTGTTTCTCGCTTTGTCTCCATTTCATGAACGACTTCTTCCTCTCCGCCTTTTGTCTCTCTTTGTAGATCTCTTCGCGATTCTTGAGCTCCCGTTTCGGTGGTCTTCGAGACGACTGAATGACTTTTGTATTTAATTTTTTAGGAATACTTTCATTTCGAGCCACTCTCTCGCCATCGCTTCCGATTCCTTCCTCGTTATCGCTGTCCTGTTGTTCGGTCTTTGCCTTCAGTTTCCACTTCTTATAGATGTCGGACTTATAAGAGGCCTGAATCCAGTTCCCGCTCTCGGTTTTGATACGCTTTTTCGATTGCTCTGTATTTCCCGCAGATATGAAGCGCTTCTTCTTTCGATCCCTATATCACACAAAACGACAAAAAGGTTTTTAAATAAAACAAATTAATAAAATCAATGATAAGACCAACCATTTCATGGCATTGTTAGCCCTATTCATTGTCGACGACTCGTCGCCATTAAAGTCGAGGACAGCCGAAGCCATCTGCGCGTTGAAAGGCTGATCCATTTCGAGTCCCTTTTCGGAGTGATGTTGAGATGACTGATACGGAACGTATAGGTCTTTGTCTTTGAATTTGTCGGTGTTTTGATCAAAATCTGATGCGATTTTCTTATTGGCGCCAAACTTCTCAATCGTTTTATCGAAAAATTTGCGCTTTTGTTGCATTATTTCAAAGCCAACGCTTCCTTTGGTTTTTCCCGTTTCAAAGATGGTTGAGTTCGGACGATATGCACGGATCGACGACAAGATGTCAGTCCTCACAGACGTGTTATTGACCGCCGAATTGGCCGATGTTTTCTTAAATATGGGATGAATTTCTATGTCTCGCGATGTAATGAGTTGTCTGGAGTTACGAACGGATTCGTTATCAGCGGTCGGCCGCGACTTCAGGTATTGTTTGTAAGCATTGCCACAAACTATTTTCATTTGATTCAATTCGGTGTTAATCGTATGAATTCTTTCTAACACTTCCATCTCCTGGTCGATGACATGTTGCGGAACCGCACCGAAGAGGCCGTCATCGCTGAGCTTAGAGTCGGGTTTCGCTAATTTAAACTCTCGGTTCAGAAACAGATTCAAAGTGTAGACAAAGGGTGTCTCGTCCGGAGCCACCAGTGAATACGCGGCTCCCATACGCCCAGCTCTGGCCACACGTCCCACTCTATGCACAAACAGTTTAGACTTCGCGGGAAAGTTATAATTAATGACATTATCGAGTAGTGGTATATCAACGCCACGCGCGGCTAAATCTGTCACCAATAGGACCTTCACTTGTCTCGATTGGAAGCGCTGGACATTGAGTTTGCGGGCCTCTAAGTCCAGAGAACTGTATAAATAAGAGCACTGAATGTCACAGTCAGTCAACACGTCTTTGAGATATTCAATATGATGTCGGGTCTCAACGAAGACAACAGTCAATTGAGTGATACTAATGACATGTTTGAGTAAATATAACAAAATAGCGGTTTTGTCTTCTTTACGACACGAGAGGAACACATTCTTCAAGTTCTCACTTAACTTGGATTCAGTGTCCAAACGGACTAAAGTCGGGTCATTGAGTCCGGCTTTAGTGAAGTCAACAATCAGTTGCGGAAGTGTTGCCGAAAAGAGAAGTGTTTGCCTCTGGTCTGGGAGTCGACTCAAAATCTCAGTCAACTGGTCGTTGAAACCCATCTCAAAGAGTCGGTCCGCTTCGTCAAAGACAATGTACTCAACTGTCGTCAGCCGTAAATTCATTTCCATCACTACATGGAGGAGACGACCGGGAGTTGCGATCATTATATCCGGGTTCTCATGGATGGCAGCGAACTGTTTCTCCATCGCATCGCCGCCAAGAATGCAGATCGACTTCAAGTCCGTAAATCGGGCCAAATCTTTGGTGAATCTGTGGGTCTGAAGAGCCAACTCACGAGTGGGCGATATAATGAGCGCTCGGACACCAGTTTTGGCCGAATGTGTCTTCAGTTTGTCCAACAGTGGCAACAAAAAGGCTGCCGTTTTGCCGCTACCAGTCCTCGCCATCGCCACCACATCCGTACCGCTCATTATCAACGGTATTGTCTTCCTCTGAATGGGTGTCGGAATGCGGTATCCCTTCTTCAGCACACCTTTCAATACGGGATAACTTAAACCCATTGACTGAAAGCCTCCGGACTTTTTGGTCTTTTTATTGGTCTTATTGGCCGAAATCCTCATCTCTTCGTAGTTGTCGTCGTCGTCGGTGTCGTTGCCATCGATGGCCGAACCAATCATAGCATTCAATGTCTTCGGCAGCACTTCATTCACGAACTCAATGTTGTCTTCGCTTTCATTTTTACTCTTCTTTCGTTTGAAATGATTTCTTCTGTTATTTGTTTTTTTATAACTTTTGTTATCATTATTACTGTTATTATTGTTATTATTATTATTACTTCGTTTGAAAACCCGTTTCTTTGCCATAACTTGTAATTTATAACAAAATTAAAACTCAATTAAAAGTCCACTTGAAATGTATGTCTCGAAAGGCAACACATGTTTGTGTTTTGTGACAGCATTTAAATCCAAAGTCACGTGTTTTTCACATTCAACACAATATTTTGGCGCAACCTTTAAATGAATGTCTTTTTTAATTCATATACAGATTTTGCGAAACATAACAGCGTTTTTGTGTTCAGTTTTGTAACAACTTTTTAAAACCATGTTTTGCTATCAAATAATACGTGTTTCAAGTTTTAATTGCAATCAATAGATGAGTCGATGACATGCAGTCGAGTTGACTGTAGTCTTGGTCTCATAGACCGTCTTAATGGTAGACCTTCTTAATAGACTTCATTCAAGATATCAAATATGATGTCCAGTCGGACAACATGTGGAACTGGTCTATAGGTTGTGAGTTCTAATTCAGTTCATTCACTCCTTCAGTGCCAACACAGCTATTATAAGTTGTGGCCAAAGTTATCACATGTTATCGATAATCATTTTCAATGTGAGATTCAATTTATATAAAATTGGTTTCATTTCTCGTCTCTTTTGTGTGAATTTAATTATTTATTAAACTTGATTTCATATAAAACTCAAATACAAATATTTACCAAAATTTTTACATAATTTTAAACATTATTTATCATTAAATATATTAATGAATGATTGGATCGGAGGATAACTTTGCAAATCGATTGCTACACAAATCAATGTATGACTCTTTCAGTAATGGTATATAAAAGCAATGTTGAGATAAAATGTTTGTTTTGTTGGCCAACCCTTTCTGAAAGACCCATTCGGGCACAGAATCCATGGCCGGGAATGCGAACAATATTTCATTCAATTCTTGATGTATTGAATAGACAAATGTAGACTCAAAGCACTTATCAAGCCTTTGGTAAACATCGAGTTTGATGTCTTCATTACGTGACACCAGATTCAACATAAATATGCCTTTCCTTTGGTCCAGAAGTGACCGAACTTTGGCCAAAAAGTTGGTGTCGAGAAACGGCATCGGAGGACAACTGAGGCCAACGTTCACGTCTTTGCTGTCGACGTCGAATATAATGACATCAAACGAATGGATCGTCGGATCTAATTGTGTAATATATTCGAGTCCATCGGCAATACATATGTCGACCTCCACTTTGTTTGATAAGCTCTTAGTCTTGAAATCAAACCATTTGATGGCCACGTCTTTCATCGCCGGATCTATTTCTATGACTTTTATATTCAGTTTCACTTTTGTCCGGATGTTATCAATCATATAAGTGACTAAACATCCGCCGCCCAAACCTATCAGCAGTACATTAAACTCTTTGGACACATCGCTGGCCAGTAGTGTTAGTCCAGCGGTTATGATCTCGTGATGACTACACGAGAGATAGTGTGGATCGACGACAGAAACCATTTTCTTTCCCCTTTTCATTGTCTTAAGTTTGGCCTCCGATTGGATTATATTCTTATTCTTCAGAAATACTAGTCTTCGGTATTGACTATTGTTAACAACAATCTCTTCGACCACATAATCACCGCTCAAATCACTCGTCCCGTGAAAAACAACGGTTCGTTTGCCGACGTCTTCGCCAATCGACAGGAATGGTATCTTTGAGTCCAAATTTAGCACATTTTTCGGCACAAAATCCATTACTTTCGGTGATAATTGGCTTTTGATTTGTTCCATATCTACAAACTTGTGATTTCGGTTCAGATGAACGACAATCAGGCGCTCAAAACCCGACTGTTTGGTCAGTTCTATGCGTCCCTTAGATGTGGCGAAAAGCCATTCAATCTCTCGACCCGAGGGTACTATAAATACACCAAAACTGGACACACATTTGGATCTCTTGTTAATGTAATTCGAGAAATACAGAGTATATCGAGGACTGAGTAAATCGTTTTCGTCGAATAGATCCAAATGGATGTCCTCTTCTTCACGGCTAAGATCTATATTTTGTATGTAATGTCTAATGAATGCAAACTCTTGTATGGATTCAATGGGTTCGTAGACGTCAGCGATTGAGTCCAGGCGTTTCGGTTTACCATTGGTTTCACTCAACACGAGTTCAATGATAGTGTTATTGGGTTTGCCATCAGTTGTCGGCATTAGTTTCGTACAAATGATGGCAAATACGGGCAAAACTAGTGAGTCTTCGGTGGACTGAAAGCGTGTCATATCTTCGGCCGATTCGATCCTCTCTATCCTCAACAGCCAATTGCCGTTTTTGTGGAACCAATTCATCAACAGTTTAAGAATATGTGACTCCAGAAGACTGACACAGAGATAACGGCCGAACGGTTTGAGTACGGAATCGATTTGTTCAAACATTTTGCAGATATTATCCGAAGACTGTTTGTCGGAAGCGATCGCATCGAGAGTTCCCTTATCTATGACAACATTGAACCGATTCTTCTCGAACTTCATGTCAAACACATCCATACACTGGAAGTCGAGTCCCGGCCTCTCGTCTCTGGAGTTGTACTTCTGGTTCATCTGTTGGACGACAACTTCGCTGATGTCGACACTCGTGTTGTCAGTGAATCCCATGTCATATAAGTCTGCGCTGAGACTGGAATTCCCGCAACCGATGACAAGCAAAGAGTCCTTCGGTTTGACATATCGGGCAAAGAGTGGCCGCAAGTGATGGCACTCCGCATACCATTCAAACGAGTCTTTGCGTGTCTTGAAGAAGCGGTTCCAGTAGTCTTCGCGAGCGAAATGTCGGCTCGATTTGGGCAAGAGTTGAGACAATGGCTTCTTTGACGACATGTGCGGTCTTCGGGTCCTCACAACTGATCCAAAGGTGTGTTTCGTAACAAAAAGTGTTTCAAAACAACACTTCAAACATGTGTTTATTGACGTCACTCTCCATAGAGTCTATGCCATAGAGTGACCAAACGTTCAGTTTTAAAGTTCGCACAACTTTTCAAACTTTTTTTAATGCTATATATTTTAATAAAATTAATTGATTTTTAATCATTTAATATTTAATTTCTTATATTAGTTTCAAAACAATTTTATTTATTAAATACACGTTTAAATAAATAATTTTGAATTTGTAATGAATAACAAATAGAGTTATAATTTAATAAAATATTTATAATACAGTAATAATGAATTACATTAAGTTTTATTAATCATTTGATTTCAATTCATTCTCAACCGGTGGCAGACATTTCTGCACAGTTTTGTAATATTTATGAATTAACGGTAGAAATGAGAGCAAAACACCGCTAATTATTGTCATTATAGATGAGATCCAAAAGCCTGTCGTATATCCGGTCTTCTGATCGAAAGTTTCTCCTAAAAAATTCATCAATTTATTAATGTTTGAAATATTAAATAATTTGCTTATAATTTATTGCCTATAAGTGGGGGTCCGATAAAGGATGCGATACCGACAATGAGATTGACGACTCCAAAGACATTTGTCACTTTCTTCATACCAAACAGATCCACAATTATTACAGATGATAATGTAATAAAAGCGCCTAAAAGTTGCCACAAATTGTTAGTAATTAAGTATTCAATACATGAATGAAATGAGGAAAATTTTAAGTTCTTGTCCATACCTTCAGCGATACCCAACACAATGATACCAAAGACCATAATCTTATAATTATCAATACTAAAGGCTGCAATTAGACCGATGCCTATGCCGTAGATTACTGTCGAGAGGCCGTAGAGTAGTATACGATTTAGTGATTGAAAGTCAGCGATATATCCAAAGAATACGCGACCGAAAGCGTTGCACAAACCGAATATCACAATCAGATTGACGGCGTCAGCGCCGGTACCCATACCTGTCTTCACGACGTGGTCTTTGAGAAAAATGATGGGAACGTAAAATACTGTGCCGTTTAGAAAGCTGGCGAAACCGTAGTACAGAAACACTATGTCCTTTAGTATACTGAAATTGAAGGCCTCTTTGAGAGCTAACTTGAGATCACTCTTCCTTTCCATATAATCTACTTTACGAAAGAGAGCGGAAAATGCGATACAAGTAAACATTAGACCCGATAGCAAAAGCATAGCTCCTTTCCAGCCGTAGGTCACAATCAGGTGCTCCGATAGTAACGCAAACACAGATATGCCTACACCTGAACCGCAACAACCAATTCCTGTGGCGAGTGCCAAATGATTGTCAAACCAATACGTGATTATCATTACCTGCGGTGTGTATAAGAGGCCCAGACCTGTGCCTAGTGTTGACAGCATTAACAATACCGACAAAATATAATTAAATGTATTTCTATTTGGAAAATAACAATAAAGTGATGAATTAATTACCGACAATAAAACCAAGTGTTACACAATGACTGTAAATGCTATCCAATACAATGCTGGATAACATTCCCATAACTGTAATAACCGCACCGACAATTGCAATCCTACGGCATCCGTAAGATTCGGTCAAACCACTGGCCACCGGACCTATACATCGGGCGAATTGAATATAAACTCAGAAATTGTAAAAATAGTGGTGCGGGAGATGTGGAGGAATACCCGCGCAATAAATCATTCCCGTCATAATGGAGTCAAAGAGTGAAGTAACGGATTTGGACTCTTTGTATTCAATGAGAAATTGTGCGTAAAATATACCCGTAGTGTAGGCATAACCGTCGCCAATAAAACTAACCATAAACGATGCAAACACTATAACCCAACCAAAGCCACCATCAGGTGCTTTATGGTATGGATTCGGCGGCGAAACAACCATTTGATATAACGTATGGATATTTTAAGTTTTAAATTTTTATTTAATTGAATTGAACGATATGAGATCGCACGTGGTATTAAATTAATTGTTTAAATAGTTGTACTAATTATTTCAACAATTTAAAACTTTATTGGTGTTTGATTTCATAAAATTCTTACAGTTGTTGAAAAGTGTTGGACTATTGGAACATATTTTATATGGCTTTCAATGTTAAAGTGCATTATATTTTGAGGGATTATAACGATCGGGAGATTATAATGGACACAAAATTGGGATAATAATGGACCTATTATTCATTATATTGTGATAATGAATAATATTGTATTAACAATATTAAATTAACATTAAATGTTTGTTATATTGATATGACCATCAAATACTTCTCAGCCTTTATTCCTAGAAGTATTATTGCACTCGCATTTGTAACCCTAATCTCACATTACTTCCTGATCCGTACTCCACTGTACCCCTCAGCAACAGTCCCAACCAATCAAATACTGGTTATTTTCCAGTACTCTCACACTCTGTACCCTTTATAACATACACTCCAAACACATTGTACTCCAGTCTCAATCTCTCTCTCACTCACTACACATGAACTCCTAAAGACTCAATAAAAGCGTTCAATTCACGCACACATCGTCTCATTCATTCACCATTACGTCCATTCATCCACACTATTCTTTGTTACACTGAAGACAAGTGGACACTATCGGCCCGCAGAAGTCCACCGCAGTACTTCTCCCATAGCTGTCCCCGCGCCGCAACTGCGCGAATACTTGTCCTTCTCAGTGGTCATAACAANGACGATCATTTGGCACTCGCCACAGGAATTGGTGTTTGCGGTTCAGGTTTAGGGATATCTGTGTTCGCATTACTATCGGAGCACCTGATTGTGACCTACGGTTGGAAAGGAGCTATGCTTTTGTTATCGGGTTTAATGTTTACTTGTATCGCATTTTCGGCTTTCTTTCGTAAAGTAGATTATATGGAAGAGAAGAGTGATCTCAAGTCAGCCCTCAAAGAGACCTTCAATTTTAATATACTAAAGGATATGGTGTTTCTGTACTACGGTTTTGCCAGCTTTCTTAACGGCACCGTATTTTACGTTCCCATCATTTTCCTCAAAGACCACGTCGTGAAGACAGGTATGGGTACCGGCGCTGACGCCGTCAATCTGATGGTGATATTCGGTTTCTGTAATGCTTTCGGTCGCGTATTCTTCGGATATATCGCTGACTTTCAATCGCTAAATCGTATACTACTCTACGGCCTCTCGATAATAACGTACGGCATAGCCATAGGTCTGATCGCGGCCTTTAGTATTGATAATTATAAGATTATGGTCTTTGGTATCATTGTGTTTGGTATGGCTAAAGGTTTGGACAAGAAATTTAAAATTGTCTCCATTTATATCTTGTATTTAATTGTTTAAAACTTCTTGTGACAAATATTAGGCGCTTTTATTACACTAATGTCTGTAGTAATTGTGGATCTGTTTGGTATGGAGAAAGTGACAAATGTGTTGGGAGTCGTGAATCTCATCTTCGGTATCGTATCCTTTATCGGACCCCCACTTATAGGCAACAAATTATTAGCAATAATTGTTTAATATTTTAAACTTAATTAAATGACAATTTTAGGAAAAACTTTTAATAAGAAGACCGGATATACGACAGGCTTTTGGATCACTTCTGTAATGGCAATAATTAGTGGTGTTTTAGTCTCATTTCTACCGTTAATTCATAAGTTTTTTAAAAATATGCAGAAATCTCTGCCTTCTGTTAAGAATGAATTGAAATTAAATGATAAATTAAACTTAATTTAATTAATAATTAGTAAATTAATAAATATTTAGTTATAAGTAATGTAAGTTATAAATTTATAATTGATAATAAATGTTTGATTAAATAAGTTACACTCGAAATCCAATATAATACACACCCAATAGTATCCCTTATTTTGAAATCATAAGTAATTTGCCATTTATATTGTTATGACCACTGAGAAGGACAAGTATTCGCGCAGTTGCGGCGCGGGGACAGCTATGGGAGAAGTACTGCGGTGGACTTCTGCGGGCCGATAGTGTCCACTTGTCTTCAGTGTAACAAAGAATAGTGTGGATGAATGGACGTAATGGTGAATGAATGAGACGATGTGTGCGTGAATTGAACGCTTTTATTGAGTCTTTAGGAGTTCATGTGTAGTGAGTGAGAGAGAGATTGAGACTGGAGTACAATGTGTTTGGAGTGTATGTTATAAAGGGTACAGAGTGTGAGAGTACTGGAAAATAACCAGTATTTGATTGGTTGGGACTGTTGCTGAGGGGTACAGTGGAGTACGGATCAGGAAGTAATGTGAGATTAGGGTTACAAATGCGAGTGCAATAATACTTCTAGGAATAAAGGCTGAGAAGTATTTGATGGTCATATCATTCCCCGGGACTGTGAGACTTGTCCCATAGGTAAGACGGCTGAGTTGTGCTATGAGGACGAGTTGCGCGGCGTCGGACTTGTGGTTGAGTGGGCGGATGAATGAGTTGAGAAGTTGAGAAGTCATCGTGACTTTTGGTCGCAGAAGTACTGTGAGATGAGGGCTGGACTTCTGGTGAGGAGAGTGTGTGGCAGAAGTTCGTTGGGAGTGGATCCAGTGATGGACGATGAGATGAGTGAAGTGGTGGACATCCGGAACAAGTCTTGATGTGTCGCTGGATGTCTTGGCGCATTGATGGCCAGAAGTAACGGAATTGGAGGCTCTTAGTTGTTGTGCGGATCCCTGGATGTCCTGCGCGGTCGTGCGCTTCGAGGAGGACTTGTGAGACGAGCTGCGGAGGGATGACAACGAGATTACGGGAGAACTTGCGGACAGTTCTGAGTGTGTAGTCGAGTGATGAGCTGATCGGTTGGATTGGGTAAGAGTTGACATCTCGAGAAGTAATGCTTGAGTCTCTTGTGATCGTGAGGACTTCTCGAAATGATGAGCGCTGAGAAGTGCAGAAGACTTCTCGAGGCGTGGCTGATGTGTGTAAACGCTTGGGCGTGACTTCTGG